AGAAAACAAAAAGCAAGGGTTGGGGAGATGACTTTTGATAAGGTGATTGCTGTACAAGCATGCATAGCTGAGCTCAGATCCCTAGCACCCACAGAAAAGCTGAGCACAGCAGGGGCATACATTCCCAGCTAAGGGGAACAGAAACAGGCAGATGTGGGTGGTCACTGGCCAGCCAGTTTAGCCAATATGTGAACTTTGGGTTCAATGAGAAACCCTACTTGAAAAGAAAATGTGGAGAGCAAGAGAGGAAGACACTGTGTTGACTTCAGTCTTTCACATGTGAATGCATTAGTATGGGCATCGACCATACGTGCATACGTGCATACGCCACACACACACACACACACACACACACACACACACACACATGCAAAAAAGCAAAGCCTTATCCTTGCTTCGACTTAGAATGCCCAGAATATAAAAATGGCCAGGCTGAGTTGGGAGACTTGGATTAGTGGGAATGGAAAGCTTCAAAAGTATGTGCAGTAAAATGCACCACACTACCACCCCCCAGCATAAAATACCTGACAGGCTCAACATCAGTGCCTTCCTGAGGGATGTTTTTAAAGAGTCAAAGTGTTTTCCTGAGCCATTTTCTGGTTAACTCATTAGCCTGAATTGGTTTTCTGACCTTAACACCTGCTGTAACCAGCAGGGGCTTGAATGGGGCAGAACTAAAGAGGCATATATTTCAATAAGCGGGAAAAACTGAGACAAAGATTTTGTGCAAAGTTGGGCAGGAGACTCTGGGCAAGGAAAGGGCAAGAGGGACTTCATAAAGTGCGCAAAATAAAAACTGAGTAAAATTTCTCTGTCAGGCCATTCTAGATCCTCTAAATTTGTTTCTCAATGACTGTTAAACTGAAAAATCGATGATAGATGATAGATGGATAGATATAGATAGATAGATGATAGATAGATAGATAGATAGATAGATAGATAGATAGATAGATAGAGATAGAGAGAGATAGACAATAGATAGATGATAGATAGATAGATAGATAGATAGATAGATAGATAGATAGATAGATAGATAGATGATTGATAAATACATACATACATACATACATACATACAAAGATAACAGATAGAAAGATAGATAGATAGATAGATAGATAGATAGATAGATAGATAGATAGATAGATAGATAGATGGCAATAAATCTCCATGAGTCAAGCAAAAGTACCGAAGACCACTCCCTCCTCAGTTTCCTCCTCTTATCTTCTTTGTCATAGCTGGTGAGGTCCAAGCAGCCACAGACCCCTATAATGCTCAGTTTGAAGCAATGATCAAGAACAAGGTATTGGATCTGCACAGTGCAGTTCCAGGGGAGGTCATGTAGTTGCCCTCAGCAAGACACTTAGAAACAGCAAGCACTGAGCAATGATGTAGTCTAGTATCCTCAATGGTGTCTGAAAGCCTGTCTTGAAGGTATGCTGCATGAAACACAAAGTTAAAACTGTAAAGTTACAGCTCAAAAACGGGATTTTAATGAAGGGAAGGGAAAGTAACTACTACTTTAAATGATTTGGACTTATCCTCACTTCCAGTAAACCTCAGATGATTTATCCTGCCAGAAGAAAAACAGCCACAAGATTTCTAAACTGAGAACCCCCTTCTCCCACATCATAACACATATATACGTTATAGGTGACTTCTCTCTCTTTAAAAATGCTGTTAAAATGTTTGTAGCTCTCCAGGATTACATGTAGAGCCAAGGTTATGAATATGTATAAATATGCAGATGCTCTATTGAATGTTCCTTATCTCATTTGTATTTCTGAAGATGTATAAGATAACCTTTGTGTCTTTCAAAAACATCTTCCTACACCTCAGGGAGCAAATTACCTCTATTTTCATTTCCTTTAAAGTTAGATCATTTTATAATTAAGAATGTATTGAAGCAGATTCTCCCACATGTAAGCTACTCCCTGGGGAGTAATTTATGCAAAGAGAGCCTCTGACTTAATATCATACAAGCCAAAAACTATTCAATGGCTACCTGGGATTATTTTAGTCATTTTATAGTAACTATAAATATCCCACTGTTTGAAATGTTACTGTTAAACTGAAATCCATAGTATAAATAAGTCATAATGTGATTCATTGAAGTGTTTTTAAAATATCTTTTATAAAGATACAATAATATATTAAATTGTGCTTCTTTTCCAAAATCATTAGAAAAAAAAATCAGTTAATGGGTATACTGATGGTGATGATGTTGATGGTGTTGATGATGATGATGCAATGACATTCTTCAGAAAACACCCATTTTATTCTCACAATTCTATGAGGTTTGTTGATGAATATTATATTTATAAGTGACAAGATGTAGGTTTGGAGGTTTTATCTTAGTTATGGCTTTAATGAATAGATTAAGGAGGTCAAATAAGAATAAAACCAAACCTCATATTTCCCCATCCCCAAATCCTGAAATCATTTCAGTCATACTGACATCCCCAGTTTCCTTCCTTCAATGCTTTATCTTACAAAATAAGAGAGAAAGATCAAATTTCTGTAGCTTATTTAATTTTTAAAAACTTAACCTGCTACCCTAAGGCTAAGTATTATATTTATGTAAAGTAATAACAAAAGATGGTAATGCTTTACATTTATTTCTTTTGTATATCTGAAAATAGAAAACTATAGTAGTGTATGCACGTGGCAGCTTTATGTACAAAGCATTTTGAAGGATATTTTGCATAATTATCTTAAATTGGGAAAGGAAATAGCAGATCTTTCTAGTGTGAATAATTTTAACAACTCTTTAGAGTACTATCAAACACAGGAATTCCTGCATTCTAAATAACCTACATGATGACAAAATCATCCTTCCAAAACATTATACATTCAGGTGCCTGTGAGATGCCACATAAAAGTTCATGTGTCCCAGTCCCACATCACACCATACTCCACAAATGTCCCCGTTTCTATTCCAAGGCCAAACCTAGCTCTCACGCATGCTAGACAAGGCTCAACCACCCAACCACATCCTCAGCCCCAGAGTCACCATTTCAGTCAGTCCTATCACTACCTCATCTCCAATTCTTCACCAGCTTCCACTTTCCTCATCTTTCAGCATTTAATCTCACTTGTGCCTCTGAACCATTTTCGAACTTGCTTCACCACCTCCCTTTGTCCAATGCCTTCTACACTGCCATTGCCTAAGTCTCGGGTCAGGAATAACTTTCATTGGTCTTCTGGTGTTCTCTGGTTAGCCTGCTCAGCTCTAAGGTTCTCCCTTCACATCTTACATAGGGATTGGTTTGGAGGATTGAATTTAGGAATCTGCTCACCCTGTGCAAGCACTCTAACATGGAGCTACAACCAGCCTTGTTTTCACCATTTATTCACTCTTCATTTTGTCCATTCCTTGTGGCAAATAGGATCAGGTGAAAACTCCCCTGCCTAACTCTAGTGGCTCCAAAGTCTGGTGTCACACTTCTGTGTAGCCATATGACCCAAATTTCCCTTAGAGCCAATTGCTCTGTGTGATAGCCAGACACAGTCATACAAGACCTCTGACCTGTTTTCATTCAATGCCCCTTTCCTTTCTCCTCAGCCTAACCAAATTCCACACACTCTGTACAATGAGCTGTCTTCCTGATTAGAGCTGCAGTGATGTGGAGTAGTTGCGGTGTTGCAGGTCCAGGGATAATTACCTTATCTTGTGCTTGCTTTAGTCCCCTGGATGGCCATTCTTTTCCCACCACTGTGTCAGAACTAACATCCTATGACTAATAGATAAAACTCTTTTGGAATCTATTAATTTAGCAGATCACTAGCTTCCATCAACCCAGAAGCTCAGAATGTCATCAGACAACATCTGAGACCTATAGAAAAGCTTCCCCTATCTTGCTGTGACCACCCCTCTGATCTACTCATCAATGTATTCCAAACTTGCCTTGATTTATGACTTCCTTTGTTCTGTAAAACTCTAAAATTTTATGAAACTCTTTCCACATTTCAACATGGAATATGGGATAACCTAAATCTATGACCTGGGCCATGGTCACTCAAACATGCCCCAAAATAAACTATCTCTTATACCCTTTTTAAAAAATGAAACCTCTTCATTCCCAGTGAAATTAAGTGCATGTTAACTTCCTATATAACTTTTTTTGACTTGCTCATTATTAACTTTTTATTAGTGAGACTATCAAAATCATTACCATATCTTCTCCTGAGTCATGTCTCCATTACCTTACAGACATTTAAAGCATGCTCAGTTAATGTTTAGTTGGTCATTAAAGTTATTTTCTCAGAGATGACCAGTCCATCCAGCCACACAACGCGTACAGTCACTATATACCAACACTCCAGTCTTGCTTTATTTAGCCACTTAAAATATTATTGAGATAAGGGCATGTAAAAAACTCCTAATGACTTCCTATTTAAAATGTAAAATAAGAAATAAAAAGGCATGAGTTCACAGGATTTTTCTGTCATGTTATTTTAAGGAAGACAAGTTTTAAAAGGAAAAACAGTGAAAGCAGGAGAAAAGATCTGGTCTCTAAACATGCATTGCAAGGGTATGAACACAACCTTGGAAAAAGCAAAGAGTGACAAATAGATCTCTTTTCCTAACAGCCGTTCTCAACATATAGATCGTGACCCTTGTGGGGTCGAACAATCCTTTCACAGGGATCCCCTAAGACCACTGGAAAAACCTAGATATTTATACTACAATTCATAACAGTGGCAAAATTATAATTATGAAGTAGCAATAAAAATAATTTTATGGTGGGGGGTCATTAGGAACTGTATTAAAGGTTGAGAACCACTGCTTTAGAAGAAGGCTAGGAAGGCCATTCAATTAGTAATGATGACCCCAGGACATCACTCTCACCCAGCATCCTCTAACTGTTAGCATCTAACACAAACATCATGGCAAAAACAGGTAAGTGTGAACATAGAAACAAGAAAAAAAAAAAAAAAGAAGGCAATTATGGACATTCAAATTTTTTGTTGTTTTCTTTGTTTGTTTTTTACTCTTTCAGCACAAATTGAAGTGATACCATGCAAAATTTGTGGCGATAAATCCTCTGGGATCCACTACGGAGTCATCACGTGTGAAGGCTGCAAGGTAGGGACTTCCATATTGTGGTGGTATGTAAAGACTTTAAAGAAGACACAATGAGGGATGTTTGTGCCTGCTGCTGACAATAGCTGAGAAGATACCTCATAGGTTAAGAACACTAATTGCTCTTCCAGAGGACCCAAGTTCACCTCCCAGCACCCACATAGTGGTTCACAATCATCTGTAACTTCAGGCCAAGGGTATCTGATGCTCTCTTCTGACCTCCTTGGGCACTGCACACACATGGTACACAGACATACATGCAGACAAAATACTCATACACTCAAAGTATCAAAAGAGTAATAAAATTTTAAAAACACTGGAAGCATTGGATGTTAGAAGTAGACTCTAGATCAGTCAAAATTCATCCTTGCCCAAATCTTAATTTTTCAATGAGTTCCTGAAGTATAAACAAGATCTTCTTTGACATATGCCACTGATATAGATATGGAAAAGAAATGGGTCAAGAGCACAGGTTGTTTCACATTCTGTCCAGTATTTCCTCAGAGAGAGTCCATCAGCCCAATGGCAAACTCATTCCTATGAGTAAGGTGTTTGGAAAATAGAGGGCTAAGGGAATAGCAGCTACCACAGACCTAACCTGAGATAATCAAAATTTGAAAATTAAGAGGAAGGTTTTTAAAGTAATCTGAAAGAAGGGAAGAGTGAGAATAGCAAGGGGCATTCAAAACAGTTCTACAATGAGTTTTCAAGGGATGGGCAGAACCAGAACAAAACTCAAATGCCATATGCAGGGGGCATGGTGGATGGTGGCAATGTCATTGGCAATATGCAGGCAAGGTGAATCACTAATTTGAGTTCAGTAAATGAGAAAGATGTGGCATAGTCATAGACTCTAGGATTCAATCATTATCTTAAGAGATTTTAAATGTAAACAGGATAAAACAGATTATAAAATTTTAAAATTAATGGTGCCTTCACAAGTCCAAAAGATGAAGTACTTTGGATTGGAAAAGTAGAGAATAAAATAAAAAGAAATGAGTGAAAATAATATGATAGAAGAAGAATCAGCATAGTGGAAAAGTCTGGAATGGAGATGATCAGTTATATCCTTAGGCAAAGCTGATGAGATAGCCCTTTATTATATTCCTCTACAAAGCTAGAATTAAGAATTATGTATCATCCACTATCATGCCACTTTTTATTCCATCAATAAGAAGCAATAAAGCAAATAAGAAGTTGGCTGTTTCTTCGACCCTCCATAAGTAAGTTATTTTCTCTGGGTAGGCAGACAAATACTTTTTGTCATAAACATTAGTAAGTTTGTAATGAGAATTCTTTCTGGTGCAGGCATTTCTTCAGGCTTGTTCTGCAGGTTTAAGAGCCCTAGTTTAGTTTATAACATACCCACTGAAGTTGTTCCTATATGAATGCTGCATGCTCATTATTCCATCATGTAAGGCATTTGGAAAATGTTGGACTTCAAACTGCAGAGATACATTCATTTTAAGAAGCAGTTTTAAACCATAAGCTCTTAAATATTGGATAAGTATAGCCCAACATGTCAACAGCAGGAACAGTGGTTGAACTCCCATCATCTTTTTAATCCACTGTCAAAGAAATTATGCAGTCACTAGGAAGCATATTCTGAGGTTTTTGTCAAACTGGCCACACATCACATGACTTTTATTTATTTCATAAAAAAAACCCACATGTATAAATATGCTACAAGTTTCTCCAGTAGAAATCCCATTCAAAATCAGACGTCAATGTCAGCACATTCAGCTATCAACCTCTTTGAGTTTTTATAATAATGCTCTGGAGTCAACATACACAACCATTTGAAAACATCAATTGAGCTCACAAACTTATTCAGTAAAATGTGATGATACAGAATCTATTTTTCATGCCAAAAATCTCACTTGCAATAATGAGCAACAGATAAGCAAGAAATGACTCATAATTAATGTCAAATTGGCTGTAAATTAGGGCTTGTGGCTGTGACTTCAGAATGTCTTCCCTGCCAACTCTTTTACTAAGTGGCACTCCAGTATCCAAAGATAAAATCCACGTGATTCTTCCTTAAGATGTAACTTCCAAAGCATCTCTAATCAGCACCAGGACACTATGATGATGCTTCCTCACAGCTTTCTTGGTATATAAAAGAGGCATTTCAGCCCCTGGGGACTGTTTCCAGAATCCAATAAAACTGAAACCCTGGAGCCCTATTGTGCAATCACTAGTGTAGTGAACAAACACCACACATGAAGATGTAGAGGTGAAAGTAGTCCTTCCTGAGTGGATCTGTGCTTAAACCACGAGATCAACTGGGAATATCTCTCCAGGGCGTCATTGGCCACACAACCATTCTAAGGTTCCTTTTGGTCAACAAAGCCTCTTCATCGTGCCAAACTAAGACATACTGAAATCCAAGGCAAAACCAAATTCTAGGCAAAACCAAAATCAATCCTTTCTTTAAAGTTTTAAGAATCTTCACACTGATATTGATTTTTAACACTTTATTGAAATATCCCCCTTTCCTAATTGCCTCTATTTTTATTGAACCATAAATTTCATATCCAAGTTGGTCTTCTTGCATGCTTTATTTTAGCCAGCCCTGCTCCATTCTCCTGGGGAAACCTAGGTGTTTGAAAAACTTAGGGGCTCTACTTCAGGCCTCTTGGAGGTTTTTCACTTCCAAAAGACAAAGCTGAAAGCTATCGTTCCTTGTGTTTCTTTTTAATATTTCTGCTTAGACCATCATTTCGCTGATGGCACTTTTCACTTTCATTGGTCCGCTGTAGGCAAACAGTGATTGGGGAAACTGGTTACCTGGGGGGGGATGAACAGAGAATGGTAACTTCCATGTCTCTGGGGAAAATGCTTATTTTCCTTATTATGTTTTCTTTATAAGGAAACTAAGGGAGGTTAGTATCCAAAGAATTAAAAAATAAAAATAAACCCAGCTATAGACTTCAAGGGGCAGTGTGCAGTCAGTTGTAGCTCTTTTCCACCAGAAAAGTCCAAACCTACCTGAAATAAGAACTCATATCCTATAACCAAAAAGCAGGCATTTGTTTGTTGCCTGCTTTTTATCGAAGAAGTTGTATTTAGTATTTCTTTGACTCAAAATGTGATTTATGATAAGATGCACCATTGGTTTCAGAAACAATTTTCTGCCCAATGTGATGATGCATAATCCCAGCACTAGGAAGGCAGAGGCAGGCAGATCTCTGTGAGTTCGAAGCCGACCTGGTATACAAATCCAGTTCTAGGGCAGCCAGAAATACCAGAGTTCCATGGTGAGGCTTTGCCTCAAAAAAAAGAAAAATTAACACTTTCTGGACAATTTGATTTTTTTTTCAGATTTGGAAAAATACATTTTAGAAGGTGGGGGAAAATGGAGCTGATGCTGAGCCCACACTCCTTGATGCTGTGCCTCCTACCAAAACACACACCCTTAGTTCAAACCCAGGCCCATGTCTCCATCAGACTTTGTCCTCCTTGGTTTAATAGTGACATGTCTCCTTGATGTTCCTTCCCTGTTGTTCCTTTGGGGCAAACCTTTATTCTCTTCAAAGAAATTCTTTCAGTAAATATTGAATGAATGAATGAACAAATGAATGGATGAATGAACAATTGAAGAAAGATACCATCACATGTCCATAAATATGCACATACATTCTGCTCAGAAGCACCTATAAGCTCTTCCGAGAAGCAGTTGAAAACTTTTGAAAGGTTAAATTCAGCTATACTTGGGGTGGAAAGTCTATCAGTGTATATGCTAATGTTGCCCTTTCTCTGAGTCTCCTGCCCTCACTTTCTCTCATCCTCCCTAGGGATTCTTCAGGAGGAGCCAGCAGAACAATGCCTCTTACTCCTGCCCAAGGCAGAGAAACTGTTTGATTGACAGGACCAACAGGAACCGCTGCCAGCACTGCCGACTGCAGAAGTGTCTTGCCCTAGGAATGTCCAGAGATGGTAAGCCTCTGCCTTCCTGGTTCTTAGCAGTTTCAAATGGACGATTGGCTAGAGGCTATTCCAGCCACTGAAAGAGTTTTAACTGTGGGAATTGGGGATATGAAGAAAAGACGACCAGAGCACTGGTCGTGAATTAAGAAGTGAAGCAGGAACATATCAAATGTAGAATTGCCTGGGAAATAATAAAAAGGAAGGTGGGGGTGGGGGAGGGGGGATGCAGAGCAGCCAGCACTATCTAGGTTAAGTGAAGACCAGATAAGGCTAGATAGTAAATGACTACCTGGCCACATTTTCTGGGAAAGAGGGCTTTTCTGGGATGTGAGATTTTTCAGGGCTAAAGTCAGAAAGCCTTAGGTGAGGAGAAGCCATTCATCCACCAGAGCTATCTGATGTACACAGTTACTTAGCGTATGGGATACCAGGAGCAGAATACACCTTCAAGGAGAATGAGACAGATCATTGGCTGTTCATAAATACCCAGTGAGAGACCTGGGCTATTCTGATCCATGATGAAGAGTGCAAATGCATTCAGGGGTCCTGTATTTCCACTCAGACTATGGAGTGTCTGTGCTTCTCCTCCACACACAACCAATTGCTTGGATTCATGGTACAAGGTGAAAAATTCAAGCATGGTCAATAAATAATTTTGCCTCTTCTTTTTTTCATTCTTAGTCATTCATACACATTCTTATACTATGAACGTTGGCCCCAGCTTTCTTGTAGCCCTATAGTGTGTTATAAATGACCTTGTATCCTGAACAAATCCCACTAGCATCAGGGCTGATGGGGATTTATCTGTCCCAGTAAGTGATGGTAGTATATGGTACTCAATAACCCTAAAGTTCTACAGCTGTGGTTTTTCACCTTGTCTAATCAGGACATGAGAATGAGCAATGCAATATCTCCTACCACTTTTCAATTATCCTTCCCATTTACTGACTCAACAAATCCTGGCACAGCGTTTTAGCAGTAGTATAGGAGCCAGGGTAAGATGTCCTCACATCTCCCTCAGGGATATACTTTGGTACAGGCATTTGCTGTCTGCCACTTATGTCTGGCTCTCACTTCACCACATCAGGTCACTGGAACATCATGGCTTCTGGTAAATAGATGCCTTATTATTCACATCATTGACTTCCCATCCTTTGAGTAGGTACCACATATCTTGAATCTTCTCCTTCCTAATGTATTTTCTCCTTGTTTGTTTGTTATTTTGATTGGTTGGTTGCTTATAGTCCAAATCTATTGTCCAGGCTGGCTTAAAACTCACTGTGTAGGCAAGGATGGTCTTCCTGCCTCATCCTCCCAATAGGGATAATAGGCATGTGCCCCTATGCTTGGCTTCTGCTTTTCTATTAACTGGGCTCTACAAATCAATCCTCAGATTGTAGAGAAATGTTTGACATAAATATGAAGATATTGGACCACACCTCCCCAAAAATAAGAAGCTTAATATTTACCAGGCAAAAATCTAGAAGGTGAAAGATTAATTTAATTTATAATATTTAAGTATCAAGTATGTTCCCATAGATGTCATACCCCTATGAAAACACTGGTAATACCCTGTGTGCAGACAAGCTTCACAGGAAAGTGTTTTGTATCCCAAACTGGGTCATGTGACACATATCACTTAATGATTTAAATTTCAATTCAAAGTCAACATACAGACCTTTAGTCATACTTTTTGTTGAAAGTGCTCAATAGTCAGTGACATACTACCATAGTGGAAGAAGCATCTAAAGTTTTTCTAAGGACTGGATGATATGAGAGAGAATTTGAAATGAGTATATTGAATCAGACTTTTACTACAAAGTTTAGATCCCTAAAGGTGATGGCTCATCGCCAATGCTGAAAGAGTTAAACTAGGGCACGTTTCACTAATGGGAAGCAGGTAGAAACCCAGAGACTTGGAGACTTGGAGACTTGGAGACAGTAAGACACAACAATTTCCAAATGACCCCAGAGTTACAGGTGATGGGTCCACAGCTGGAGTCCCCAAAAGAACTGTTCAGTTCTCATGCAGCAGGAAGTATAACTCTTTGATAGAGCAGTGACTTTTAATTTCTAGTCACCCTGAGAACTTCTGTTCTACTTAGAATCCCACACTGTAAACAAAAGTGATGTGATTTCTGACCCTCCTACATAGAAGTTTTCTTTGCTAGTGTGGGATTGAAATGAGGGTTAAGCATGTATTGTGTATTGATGATGTCATCCTGAGTATTTGTAAATCACATGCAGTGTATACAGAATCATACCAGCTTTCTTAATACATGGCAATTTAACAAGAAACTGTCTCTATACTCAAGTGAATGTCATTAGCAGAATAAATCAGGTTTGAGAGAGGCAAATGGTTAAAATATGTGCTGTGCTCACCCTTGAGGGGTAATAAGAAGCATGCAAATACTTAAAAATATAACAGTAGATGGCCTTTGTTAAAGTGGAACTTTGAATACATTGCGGTGTCTGAACATAATAGCCAGGAAATATTTCTATGTCAGAGAAGTTTAGTAGGTGTATTTTCTTGGTGTACAGTACAGTTTGCCCCGGAGTACATCGCCAGCTTTATTACAGGAGAGGACATAAAACTGAAACACTTTTCTGAAATAAATGGAAAACTTGTCCTGGAGTAGCTTTGTAGTCATTGTCTATAAAGTCTTTGATTTAAGACAAAGCCTGAGAATTCCAAACTCTAGTCTCTTTAAGTTGCCTCTTTCTAGATATTCCAATTGCTCTGTCACCTGACAAGTCAGCCTCGTACAAAAGATGTACATTTTTCTGTCGAATCGTCAGATGATTACAGCAGAGCCCTTGGCAACATACTTTTCCAACATCATTAGCCCTAATTACTAGGACTATAGTTAACAGCACATGGAGGCATGCTTTGGCTGCTGGTCTGTCTGTGACCCTGCTGATGGTGGATGGCCTTGCTTGGGTAATATAGAAGTGGCCTGAATCAGCTTTGCATATCCTATTGTTCAGCAATCTAGTTCAGGCATGTCCTTGACATGGTGAGGTGCCCAATCAAACAGGCCCTTTTCAGGTCTCTGCTTGCAACAGATTTGTCAATAACCCATTGACCTCTGCAGGTCATGTGACTGGGAGTCCAGGGTTGGGCAGCATGCCTGCACAGAATGAAAGGGAATTGGGAATAGATGTAGAGAACATGAAAGGACCCAGGTAAAAGGAATTGGGGTCATTAATACAATCACTCTGCCTCAAAACACACAGAAATCTAAACTGAGGGTTAAATGGCAAGTGTGTTTAAAAGGCAGTTCTGATCCCAGGGAGAAAACTGGCTCACTCATGATTTTTAATTCCTATGATTTAAACCTGTAAATTTTAATTCAGTAAAATTTAAACCTGTAAAAAATTAATTCCTACAATTTAAACCTATTCTATAAAGTTACTATAAAATTGTAATCTTATGCAATAGACTAAGTTCTTGTATTGAGAAGACTATAGCTGTCTTCTATAAGAGCCATCTGAGCTGACACAAACACAAAGGTCGGCAATAGGGTAGATGAATACCATGTTCTTGGGATGTAGTCCTCCTGAGTCAATGTTTAATATTATTTAATTTCCCTTATAAAAATGGCATTTTCTGGCAGGCGGTAGTGGCACACACCTTTAATCCCAGCACTCAGGAGGCAGAGCCATACAGATCTCTGTGAGTCTGAGGTCAGCCTGGTCTACAGAGTGAGATCCAATACAGGCACCAAACTACACAGAGAAACCCTGTCTCAAAAAAAAAAAAAAATGGCATTTTTCTCTAGAGAACAATATGTAAATTATTTGCCATGACACAATATAAAAGTACAAGGAAAAGTTTCCCTAACCATTCTGTAGCATTCTGCCCATGGCAAGTGGAAATACCACCACACTCCAAAAACAAATTCTGAAAAGTAGAGTCTAATAACAGCTGTGTCTACATAGCAAGTTAAACACAATCCAATGATCTAAACCAATTGGAGACCCAGTAAAAGCAACAACTGAGAGGGAAAAAGAGAGTTTGCTAGTAGTTAATTAGATTGTTTCTCTTCATTGAGAAAAAAACTACAGGATAATTACTACTTCGTCTTCCTACTTAGGCAGCATTGAAAAGCCAGGGGACAGGAATTTTCTTTTAGAAAGATTAAGGAGTAAAAAGAATGAGGGAGAGATTGTGGGTGTTAAAGTCCAACCAGTCGCAGCCTCAATCTGGCAGCCAAAAAAGGAGAAAACATGCCACTATACCTAGGAGTATCTGAAGACTCCTGTCAGTCTGCACATCCTGTTAATCACACGTCACATTTCCCAGTAATCAGGGCTGGGAAGTGGGGTCTCCATTTTGAACAACCCACACTCAGATAAGATTGGGCAGCATCAGTCCCAATGCAAGGGAAAGATGAATTTGGATGAATGCTGCAGGGAGTGAATGGCAGCATCCTCACAAGTGCAGGCCTCCTCTGTGGACCCTCTGAGCTGGAGAGACTGTAAGCACTTCCTGTGTGGCAGTTTTTAGAAAATAAAAAAACTCCAGCCCTAACAACTGAATCTTGATCTATTTCTACACTCATCTGCCTCCTTTCTACCCCTTCTGAGGTCCTGACATCAACAAACCATGGGGAAACTGGCACCACCACCAAAGAAAAGAAATCATAAACTCAGATGAGCATCTCCAAGACGACCATATTCCCCATCATTAGCATGAGGTGCAGAATGCAAAATGACTTGAACCAGGCAGCCCAGCACCCAACATGACCACGTGCTAAAAGAGCAGTTGGAGAGAGGTTGGCGGCTTGTGAAAAAGAAGTCGTTATCCCTAGCAGTTCCAAAGGCTGTGCTCCACAAGTCAGGAAGCTGTGCATGGGGGTGAAAGCCTCTTTATATTATTCCCAGACACTCATGGAGCCTCTCCCTCGGTTTCCCTCAAAATGCCTGAGGATTGGGCTGCAAGAAATGGGCAAAATAAACCTTAGAGCTGGCATGATATGCAAAGTTGCTCCTGCTGGTCCAGTGCATACAAATGCTGCCATCCAAGGGTTCTGATTATTTGCTCCAAAATCCAAAATGGTGGCAACTGGTGAAATTTTCACTCCCCTGAATCCTTGTTCTTACCAATAAAATATGTCCCAAATTGAAACAATAGGTTTTTTCCCCAAGGAGCTGGCAATCCTAATGATAGAGAAGAAAGTCAGTATTGATTATGGAGGCCATTTTAATAGCAGGAAACCTTTACTAGTCTTGTGAGGTATGTTGTTTTGGTTTGCACATGCTATTCACAAATGGGGGGGGGGGGGGAATGAATACCTCTTCCAATTTCTTGGCCGTGACAAATAATATACATTTTTATATGTCTTCCTAGGTTACTGTTGCTGTTTGGATATTGAATGTCACCAAAATATATTCACATATTTTAAGGATGGCACTATTGAGAGGTTATAGAACTTTTCAAGGGTGGGGCCTAGAGAGAGGCCTTGGGTCATTAGAGAGTGTCCCTCCGAAGGAAATACTGGGACCTCGGGCCCTTCCTTTTCCTCTCTTTTGCTTGCTTGAGTTGAATTGCTCTACTACACCTTCTCCAACACGGTATCCTGCTGTGCCACTGACACAAAAGCCATTGGTACTGTGAGCCAAAAATAAACCTTTTCTACTTTTAAGTTGATTGTCTCAGTTATCAGTTACAGTGGCAGAAATCTGACAATACACATTTCATCACTCTGATGCAAACCAACCCATCCTCTGAATAGCATCTTTCCCTAAAGGTGAAATGTAAATGAGTGAAGCCCTGCCTTGGAACAGTAGGGATTTGTCTATATGATACTGAAGGGACAACTACCCATGTCCCTTGGAGTGAAATGGCTAAAGCTAATGGTAACCACACTGCTGTCTATTTCTCTTCTTTCCATCCCAGCTGTAAAGTTCGGGAGGATGTCCAAGAAGCAGCGGGACAGCCTGTATGCTGAGGTGCAGAAGCACCAGCAGCGGCTGCAGGAGCAGCGGCAGCAGCAGAGCGGAGAGGCAGAGGCCCTGGCCAGGGTGTACAGCAGCAGCATCAGCAACGGCCTCAGCAACCTGAACACCGAGACCGGCGGCACCTATGCCAACGGGCACGTCATTGACTTGCCGAAATCCGAGGGATATTACAACATAGATTCTGGTCAGCCATCTCCCGATCAGTCAGGACTGGACATGACTGGAATCAAACAGATAAAGCAAGAACCTATCTATGACCTCACATCCGTACCCAACTTGTTTACCTATAGCTCTTTCAACAATGGGCAGTTAGCTCCGGGGATAACCATGACTGAGATCGGTAAGTCTTCTTCTGAGTGTGAGTCTTCTCTGATTTTTATTTCTGGAAGGTCTCCCTTGAAGGTGCCTTAGTCCTGTTTAGTACGGTCATCTTCACAGCCCTAAATTAAATTGTCTGAAAACCTGGTTTCTACTGAGAAAATGAAATTGGTTTATACTCTAACAATTGTCACCATCTCCTTGTGCCATAAAAGTTATATTGAATGAAGGAAGAAGGAAGAAATGGAAATATGCTGTCTATAAGGGAAGAACGGGTATTCTCGGGTGAATTTGGATTCTTATAGAAGGGAAAATGTTGGTGGGAGAAAGGACATTTCCTAGCTTTCCAAGATAATGCTATTCAAAGGGAAGTGGACACAGTATGGAGTAATACAATGAATGGTTCTCAAAGATTGTTGGTGATACGCCATAAACACAGAGTACCCCAGCTGTCCTCTTTATGAAGGTGCAGCAGGCAGTCCAGAAGATAGCTATGGATTTTGTGAATCTAAATTCAAGAATCTGACATGGAGATTCTGGGGAAAGAGCTCATACACAATGACATAAGTGTAATTCCCAGAATCCCTGTTTTTAAAGACATGGCACCCCACTTACAATCTCAGCACAGAGGAGGTAGACAAGGCAGACTTCTGGGTGTGTCGGCCAGCCAGCCTAGATTGCCTGAGCTCTAGGCCAGAGAGCCTATCTCAAAATAACGAAGTGGGCAGCTCCTGAGAAGCAACAGCCAAGGTTGTCCCACATACGTGTCTATACAAATGTGGGCATACACACATGTGCATGTACACACATGAATTCTATATGGGATTCTGAATCACAGCAATGATGACTATGGTCTTGGAGGCTATGCAGTACACAGTAACAAGTTAATCAGGGACATCTTTCAGCTATAATGACTTTTGACCTCTTAGGGCATAATCTCAGGGGTGCCCCATCTCAGGCAAGCCCTCTTCTGACCTACTGTAATTTTGTTTCACCCTGTTAACCTCAACAGTCTAAGGAATGTTTAATGGGTTAATCTCATTAATGAACTGCCATAAAAATAGCGGCAGACTCTCTTAATACATTTCCCTCCTAGGTAGCAGAGCTACATGTCCACCTCACCATGGGAAAGCTAGAGCAAAAGCAGAAATGACTGCCTCCAGGCTAAGAGATAGGCAACCTGAGTTTGAATCCTGGCTCTGTAGATTACAATGTAGAGCAAGTTCCTTGATCCCAGATCTCTAATCTTTGAAAAGGACAAAGCACAGTTTTAGGTCACGGGGATATCATAAGAAGCACAACATGAGACAGGTGCCCACTAAGTCTCTGCTATACTTTTATAAGCCCTGTGCTTAGTTGCCATCAAATAAGTGCCTGGAGCCCACAACTGTTTTCATTTGAATTTTCTGTGAACATACAAGGAAATCTATGGCTGTGATCTAGGCTGCCTATGGGACATGTGTTTGAGAAAGAAGGAATGCCACACAATGATGAATCTGAGATGTTATTTCCCCTTTCCAGTGGTTCATCATGGGGCAAGAAAATTAGTTGTTGATATCCCAGCCAAGAAGCACCAATAGCTGGACTCTGACTAGTCCAACTATATTGCTATCTTTACCCATGTCCTTATTGTATCCGAGATACTTTGTAGACATTTCAGTTTCATAAAAGTCTAAAGAGTAAAGAAAAAAGGGTCCTATTTTACTGCAGAAACAGAGGCCTAGCACAGTTCACTGCTTCAGAAGGGGTTCATGGTAACTCCCTGACAGGCTGGGGTCCACTTCAGGAAGTCTGATTCCAGGGTCCTGTGCTCACCTATTTAACTGCTGCTTGCTACATTCACCACTCATAGGGATGCCTTTTGTATACAGAGGCCCCCAATCTTTCCAAAGGAGTGTATCAAAACAAAGTAAGACACCACTTAATATCCAAGTTCTTGAGTGTAGTATTCGTTTGGAACATACATTTAAATCCCAGTGAAAAGAAAGCTGGAAATTATTTAGCCATCTTTGACCTCATACACAAAAGGGAAGTTCTCACAGTTTATTTATGACTCAATAGAAAATATGATAAGTAAGCTGCAGACAAGACCACTGGCTCTGGGTTCCTGTGGACAATCACTTTCCCTTTCTGGCCTTCAGTCTATTTTCTTATGAGCCAATAGAAGAGAGACGGATAACTGCACATTTCATCAGGGCTTCCTGCAGAGCCACTGACACCCAAAGAGAACTTTTCATAATTATTTCAAGACATCACTAGTTTTTACAGATCTCTACATGTGCTCTAAAATTTCATCAGACTTTAAGGGTGAAATTAGAAGTGTCCTGCAAGTGCTCTCAAATGTAACAGACTCTTAAACCTAAATATTGGCTCTGTTCTGATTTTGCTAAAACAGCAATGCCACCTAGTGGACACAAACCCATTCCATGTGCATGGATCTAGGTGTATGTGGTTACAAGACCACAATAGGGTGATGGATGCCTTGTCTTAATGAGCTATCTAAAACTCACCATCCATGTCACTACAACACTACAACAGCATCGTTATGCAAGAAGGCAGCAGAAAATGGTTATGCACTTTGGGTCCACAGTCAAGCTGCAATCTTTTACTTGACGTCTATGAGTCATAGCTCTATACCTGAAGCAGTAATAGTCATTAGGCTTATGCTTATGTGCTGTGTCAGGGGGATAAATGAGCTGATATTTATAACTTCTGAAGCTATTAATTGCCATTTCTAAGAATTATTGTTATCACAGTAAGATCAACATTGAGATTATTACATAAGATCTCCAGCTATTACAGGGAGCGCAACCACTTTTTTATTAAGTACCCATTGTATTAAATGATACTCTATCTTTAACTTTTATAGAAGTCTTGGTTTGACTGGTGAATAACTGTATACCCATTGTACAGGAGAAAATATTGAGGCTTAGAGGTCACATTCTTAGTAAAGTCAGAGAACAAATTTGTATCTGAGTCTAAGTGTGCTTTCTCCTGTCAAATGACAACCACTCAGAAGCTCATTGGCATTGCTACAGAAAAGCATGCTGGGCACTCGATGCCTGCTGACATCATCCTAGGTGACACTACACGAAGTTCACAGGGTTTTCTGCTGACCTTTTGACTTTATTTGATCATTAGGCATAGGAACCACCTGGTTTGTGGCATGCTGTCACTGAAAAAGTCCTGTACAGACAAAAGATAAAATCTGAGTTAGACACATTTTAAATGAAGTCAAGGCTCTGGCACACTAAGAAATTTGTGAGCATTGCTTGTGGTTACTGGTTCTGACTGCTTCCTCTGGTTTCTGAGAGGGTAAGGGACATGTAGCCCTGCCATTGTGCTGAGATATGTCCTTATGAGTAGATCTTTCTTTTAAACCAAGTTTTAGATAAGCCTGTGTTCAACAAGGTCTCAGAGCTTTTAAATTTTTAGTAAAAATTTATTTATGAACTACAGAATAACATTTGAACAGCTGCATAGAAATCAAGTCAATTATATATGTCATCAATATCAGGAGTAGGACCAAACCAGGTCCATCCTTCTCCAGAGATGCCAGAGGAGCTCACACTTCCTGGGATAAGGACTCTGATGATAACAGCTTCTATTTAGAGGGAAATGTGAAAATCTTTACACAAATTTCAGTCAACGTAAGGCTCATCCCCTGATTCAGTTCAATTGTGAGGAAGCTTCTTGATGAGGTTAAGGGTCAGAAACAGGAGTTTGTTTTCCAAGGCACAGAGTTAGTAAAGCTTAATTCTAACTTAAACAACTCATTTGGCTATCATTGACTTCCAGGCATGCTTTGAAGAATTTTCTTTTGCAATATTCCAGTCACTGGAAGTAAGCAAAATGTGGTTTCTACCCTCACCATCTAAGTGACAGGTGTCAAAAGAAATTGTGGCAATCCAGAAAAGAATAGACTGGCCATCAGCAGCAAGGCACCAGCCTGGCATGCAGAAGACCCTTAGTTCAATGCCAGCATGCTAAACTAAGTAACTTAATTTTTTAAACTGTCTTGGAATTTAAGTCCTAAGTGATCCTGGACATGAAGGTCTGGGGGATGGTGAATATCAGTTACACTTCCTATCATGAGACTTTTTTGTTCTCAGAATTTTGAGGCTAAAAAGCAAAATGCAGTTAAGAGAACAGAAACAACAAAGAATATTTCAGAAATATATCCCTGGGCTTTTCAAACTCCCAAGAGAAAAAGAAGCCATGAAATAAGAAGAGGCTGGAAGTCAACCACAAATTAATATTTAGGCCTCAGTATTGACAGGGCTTGGCTGGGTATTTACTTCAAGCTGGCATGATGGATGTGTTTTGTCTCTGGGAATAAAATTTTGTGTGGTTGGTGATAGAGAAAGGAAGCTAGGCAAAGGATTCTCAGCAAGTGAGCAGAAAAAATAAAAATGTAACCATTGGCTTTTGCTTACCACCACAGCTCTCCAATGCTCAGGGGATGCTGCAGGGATTGTACTCTCAATAAAGGTCATTTAAGCTGAAAGATGATTGACAAGGTATCTAAAAGGTTCCAGACAAGATAATTCAAGGAACCAAATAACATTTTTTAAAGGTGAAAGAAAGAATGAATATATATGCATAATATGCATATGAATGTATATGTATATAGGTCCTTAAATTAGCTGTAATGCTAAGAAGCACAGTGTGCCTTCCATACCTATCACCTGGGTCTGGTATTTTGCTGAGGAATTTCCTTCCAGATATAGACAAGGGAGTGTGGACTCACTGGTCTCATTGTTTCTATATAGTGTTAACATGGATTTATTCTCATATTCCTTTTGTGTTCTATTCATGGAATCTGGAGTTTTAAGTAACAAACACAGAAATAAACCTCATTTTGGATGTGTCTATTACATAACTGAATATGAATAGAGGAGACTACATGAGGAAATGGGCCTAAAGTGACCTAGTCTCTGTAATGTATGGCTTCATGCTGCTAAAGCTACAGAGACATTTGAAGGAGATTGCTCAGGGTGCTTTAGTTTGCAAAATTTTTTA